ATTTAAGCATGATAAATTTTAGTCGAAATTTACACGTCAACAAATACCAAAAATGAGACCCTCCCATAGGAATACATTATTTTGACTGATGCACTTTGAAAAATTTTAGCATCAAAACTAATTATCCGAAGTTAATGAAACTTTATTTTTGGTGCCTACGAATGTAAACCTAAATAATGAAACTATTTTCATAATTTTAAGTATACTATAAATACCATAGTCTAATAGGTTATCATTTCTCCTAATATAAGCAAATAAATACAATGTTTTTCTTTAAATTCTAATTTATGCTGAAATAAGTAATGCAATTCATTGACCAAAATGTATATAATCTTAAATGTGATAAATAAAGTGCTTTAAATCCAATGCTTTCTAAAAGAAAATTATTGTATTTGAATTTTTATAATGATATGTAATTGTTTTGAAATATAAAAAAAGTTATAAAATAAGTAAAAAAGTTAAAGAATATAATAACTGATTGTTTTCAAAAGAAAAAACATTTACTCTTAAAAAACGGGAAAATCCTTTATCTTTCGTTTCAATTGCGAGAGTTTTGTCACAAATTTATGAGAAATACTCTTTTTGTCATTGGATTCACTATTTTTTTGTGTCTTTCCCGTTGTTGTCGGCTATTATTTCCATTTAGTTTTTTTGTGATCATTAGCTACAAAATCAGCCAAAGCTTAACTCTGTTGACCAAATGCTCACAAAGTTTTTTTTGTTTTCTTTTATATTTTAGTTTTTTTGCTGACTTTCTATTATGAGGGAAAGAATAGGACTTATAGAGCCGTCTTATGTCTTCTCACAATTCTATTATATTTCTTAAGTATTGTTTTGTCAAATTATTTTTGGTTCAATTTCAAAGTTTTGCTCTTATTTCTCGGGTAAAGCTTTTCCGAGAATATCTTTTTAGTAGTTATTACGGAAACTTATCGTTGAGTTTTTACAACTACTTCATTGCATTTCAATATTTAAATTTTATTACAATATAACAATATAGTTAGTGACAAATTATTCATTGATAGAATATAAATTATGTAACAAAGTATAGTAAAATACATTAATTAATTCCCAAACTGATTGAAATAGTTAGAATTTAATCCAAAACCACTGGTTATAACACAAGCAATTAGATTATCACTTATTTAACAAACCATAAAAATATTTTTCATTTTCTATATAAGCACCGAAATAAACACATTTAAGCAAATGATTACGTGATTAAACCAAATGTGTCCAAAATGTTGTCAACTAAATATAGTGTGTGATTATAATCACTAAAAATTCCAACAATTTATAAAAGTTCCCTAAAAATAGGATGTTTTTGCGAAAAGTTCTCTATATATGGGACAGAATCACAATAACTTTTAATATAATAGATTGCATTAAACACAATATAAATGAGCATGAACAATATATCCTGCCCATATAATCGGGGACATTTAAAAAATAAATGATCAAAATTTCAAGAAAATAAATTGTTTTAAATTACAATAACTCCAAATGTAATAAAAAATTCTCATTATACCCTAATTACACTCATTTACTATAAAAAAAATAAAATTGTTTAAAAAATTAATTTATATAAATGAACGTAAAGGATATTACGATTAGTTGGCGTAAAAATAATAATTATTATTCTAAAAATAACTTTTAATATATAGTATTGATTAAAACTTTTAGGCCTAATAATAATTTATTAAAATAAATGTGATTTTTTATATATAAATAAACTAAAAGATAGCACATTAAATATCAAGTAATTGTCTAACAAACAAAAAGAAAAATGTAGATATTTTTAATTGCATTTAACTCATAACATGTGTCAAAACAGATGTTAATGTTATTGTAATGAAACACAGAAATAATTTCATTAGAAATATTTTCGTAATAATTATTAAAATATTGTTAAAAATTAATTTTCAAATCATTACTGGTTTGCAGATTACAAATAGTGGCACACATTTCACGAATTGTTTGTTTCGATGACAACATTAAACAAGATTTATATATCGTTTCATTGAAAGTAATTGCAAAAATCGTTTGGTTTTTATAATTTGTGGACAAGTTTTAAAGACAAGACTCCGGAAGAATGGCTGCATTTATAGCAAAACAAATGGTTGGTAACCAACTCTCGGCCGTTAAAGGTATTCAAACATTTTATCAAAATTATATTTATTAATATACTTTGTTGTTATTATAATTGAAATCTAACCTGATTAAAATGAACGCTTTTTTGTGGGGCATTATATTTGAGACAATGTAATTTAAATTTGAAATACAGTATAACATAATTGCGATTTACTATCAGATCCAATGGCCAATTAAAAGTAGAGCTGAAGTGATTTTTACAGCAATTTGTGATAAAACAAGTGGTCAAACAAGAGCTCCATTTGTTTGGTCCCAATATCTGCTTATGTCATACGAATTGTCTCTCTATCTCATTGTAACGTTAATATCCATTGGGATATCATTAGAGCCTCAAGTCTTGTCCAAACTTTTACTTAATATAAGTCGTGAAATACGAGTCAATATATGAGAGACAGCTCTCCCGATGGACTCACTTTCCATTGCCTCTAACCTTATAGTAAAGGCATAAATATAATACACTATTGGTTCGCAAGGAAATACATTTACAATAAAAACGATATCTTTTTAGTCAACATTTGGAAATCAATCGATAGAATGTAAAAAGTTTTTTACATTATATTTCAATCAAAACTTTAGTTTAAAAGTTGCGTAAAACAAATATTCCTTTTAAAACTAGATAAAAATGTGTTCATATTTGTGGATCTATATTGTTGTTGTTACTAATGTTTCTAGGGTTTCTTGTATAATAACTTTACTAATATTCTGTTATTGTAATTAAAATATTAATTGAATTCTCAAACTAATGTGATAATTAATTATTTGTTTTGTTTGTTTGTATATATTTCTATAAATAGATATTTAATTAAGTTTTATGTGTTGTAATATAATGTAGCTTTATGGATAATAAAAGAGATAGGGTTAAGGCATATTTAATTAAAATAATTCAAATAACATTTTGGTGCATATAGAAACTATCACATTGTATATTTATAAATAGCTCATTTATTCATTTTAATTGATTAGTTAAATCACATCAATATTTGTATAGGTATAGGAAATTGGCATAATTTGAAGAAAATTTATAAATTAACTTTACATGCAAATATAATAATTGTCATTAATTAATAATGATTGTAAGCACACCATCCGTATAGTTATAATATTAAACATTACTTACTATAAGATATATTAAATCATATAATAATCGAGAAATAATATGATTAAATCTATCACAAAACATTAATACAGGGAACAATTTGGCACAAAAAACATTTATAAAGAGACATATTTTTCTGACTTTTGTATTATTTATTGCACAGTATTTAAGGCTTATTTGTTTTGAAATATTTAAATAGAGTGTCGCTCTATATATACCGGACCTCCCGGTGCGGCGATAAATGATTATCAAACTGTGATTTTCTTTAAGCAAAAATCTTTCTCTTTATTCGCCTTTTATTTCCTTTGATAGAAATTAATGTTAAGTGAAAAAACTTGTATTCACTTTGTTTTTGATGTTTATATGCAAACAAATACATCAATCGCCGAATATAAACATGTACATGATAGATTTAGCGCAATGTTAAATACATTGTTTTTAAAATAACAATTTCTAAGCAAAACTACATGTTTTTGCAATACAGAAATATACACTTTACAAAAATTTAAAAACATTTAAAATAGATTTTTGGCAAATATATTATACATTTTTCAAAAACTAAATTAAAGTATTATTATTTCTAAAAGTATTGAAAGTAAATAATTCTTTAAATAAAAAACAATAATAAATTTAAACGAAATCCCTGATTCTCTTTTATAAATTATATATTATTATTATAATATTGATATTATAGTTATAACAATATAAATAATCATATTTTAATTAAAATAAAGATACTTGATTTTTATTGCTTGCTAGAGTTTTCTAATGTTTTGCTAAATTATATAGTATATAATTAATTAAATAGTTATAAATAGTATGTATAACTATGTAAATATCATTGCAAAAGATATAACATGAATCCATCAAAAATATACAAATTATAAGTAACTTTAACTTAAATTTATATAATTATGTATTCACTCATCCGGCAAATGATGAGACGATACAGACTATATTTGTATGAAAATAATGAGTACTTTTAATAAAGTATACATAAATTTTGTGTTCATAACGTCTTGATTGCATAAAATGTTATTCACAGCCAAAATAATAACAATGTTTTCTGTGAAATAAGCCTAATATTCAGGTAATGATATTCTTATGGGTAGACATAAAACTATATTATTAGTGAGTGATTGGCAACAAACACAACGGGAACTACTTTTATGCTTATTGTCTGCACACTTCTCAATGCACTCAACCATTATTTTTCTGTACAGAATATTCTGGTCTCTCAAACAAATGGGATATTCAGTACAATGAGTGTGGAGTAATAATAATGCAATTCTGTAACCTATTTATTCACTTTTTGCTAAATATTAGATTTAGGCTTAAAATTATTTTATGCAATATTTGTGTTTAAACAGTAAAACGTTAAACACATCTCTAATGCACTGAATAATTATTTTCCAAATCTTATAATACAAGTCCTCAGTAGGCATTAGATTTAGCAAATATTAAATCCCTTTCATTGGATTTCTTTGTTGCAAAAATAAATAAAATTTATTTGTAATTATTTTTTGAGCGATTAATTTTATGTGAATTTATAATCATTTTTAAAATGAAATTTATTATTTTTTGTTTTAAGAATTATATTTATAGCGAATGACATTCAAATGTAAAATAATATATTACAATATTGTGCAATAAATGCTTTAATATAAATCAATGATTTAACATTGCATTAATTACGGCATGAGATTTAAATAAATATTAATAAGAACCAAGATTGTTTATTAATTTAATGAAAAGCTATGAATTAAATGATAGGTCAAGCGAGTGGTGTACACAATATCCAAGTTATTTGATTTGTAGTGTATATATACCGGTAAATATTGTTTATATTAAAGTCTATTTTTATTTGTCAAACAACACAAGTGTTGTCACATGAATGACAAACAGTATTGTATGGCATAAAACCAGTCAATGGTATAAAATTAATTGCAAATTATATTTTACGAAGAATTTAAGCCCTATTTTAATACAATTCAAATAATTATGGCAACGCGCAAGCCCTCCAGTAATTTATCATGTAATATAATTTTTGTTTGTTATTTAAATATATAAAATAAATGTATTATTTATTATAAAATTTATAAAAAACTTTATTTAAAATTTTATAAATCTTTTGTAAATTTTGACAAATAGACAAATATATTGTTCACTTAATTAGAGTGTTTGGCACAACGTTTGCCAATATATTCGTGAATTTGAAATTTAAAATTTTTGTCAAAAAGGCTTAAAACAAATATCAAAATTGAGTCCTCATTAATGCCATATAATAATGATCGACATCTTTTTTGTTGCGACATTACATCTATGTGTTATTTAGTATATAACGTATAAATAAACTTTACATTGAATATTACTCCTAATAGTATTATATATTAAATAAAAATTTCAATTTAATGAACGGCATTCTTATCCAATGTTAATAATGTAAAAGTATTTTATTTTAAAACAAATCTTATTTTTCTTAATAAGCGCTGAGAAAAAGGCAGTTATTTATAGTGAACGGAGAAGAAGAGCAAAAAACGTTTCACAGAATATTTTGCACAACACTATAGTCTATGTAAAGATACATATAATGTATATATAATATGTCTCCACTATTCTGTGGATGTGATATACAGTACTTTCTCAGATGTATTGCTTTCATGCGATTCATTAATCTTTAGTTTTTTGAAGTAAAATGTAGTGCAAAAAAATATTTTATTCAAATTCTCGTTTTATATACACAGATATCATGAAATACTTTATATATGAAATATATCTCGTCTTCAACCAAGAAAAAAGAGATAAAATATTTTCAGCCCAAAAAACTGCACTTTATTTCACTCAATCATTCTTTGCATTCGCTTTTCATTATATATTTATTACATTTTACTCTTTGAGAGCGAAATATTCAAACATTTATTTCAATATTTAGAATGTTTAATACAGTCAGACCTCTGTCTTGTCAATCATCTATGCTGTCAACTCCTCTATGTTATCAACCAAATCCCAAAACCCACAGTACATAGACATAATGTTAAATTAACCTCTATGTTGTCAACCCCTCTAAGTTATCAACCAAATGCCCCTGCCCCATTTTGTTGATAACATAGATGTTTCACTGTACTAATAAAACTAAACATTAAGTATCAAGGTATTTTATTACAATTTATATCTAAATATTTGTTATTTATTTAAGTCAATGAATTTTTTAAGTTTTCTAGATAAATTATTAACGAGAAATTATCATAATTTTCTCTCATTTGTATGGGATTCCCATTATTTTCTAAAGAATATACTTTGAAACAAACTTCACACATAAATCTCTATTTCGCCCAAATATAATATAATATTATTCGTATCTCTTTTTTCTAATCTAAACAAATAAAGAAATATGAATTAATATAAAAATATAATATTAATAGAGTATAACATTAATATTTATAACTTAATTTGTGTTTGAAATTTCGCGAAATAAACAAATAAAAGACTTTCATTAGAAATGATATCCAAAAGGAAGTGTGAATGAAATGGAAGTCATTTTCGGATTCAAATTCACATATAATTGGACACAAATATGGCATAAATTTATTTCTTATCTCACGCTTCGCTCCTCAGAGAGACTCACATTATTTTCCCATTAAATATATTCACTCTTTTTGATTAGACTTCTGTATATATTTTGTCCATTTATTCATATAATATTTTATATGTGATTCTTATGACATGTGATAATCATATGCCATACCATCGATGATAAACAATATTTTGTAAACATGTTGTAAAGTATTGGAAAAATACTCTGCATAAACATCAGTATAAATAATTAATTAATAAAAATTCAATGTAAGATGTTATATTTGTTTCTATGGATTTGGATTCAATTAACATAGACTTATGTTGTAATAATTATATGATAAACAGAGCATAACATTATTGAGGGATAATATTTTACTATTTTATATAAGGTTTTAATGAATAACTTATCATATCTAACGAAACATTTATAATTGCATTTGAATATGAGTTTGTGATAAAAATATATACGTTTTCTAATAAATCAAAATTAATTTCTCAGTGGATTTCGCACTATATTTAAAAGTTTTTTTGGAAATCATTTGACTTTTTATTTAATTACACGAACAGTAAATCATTTTTGAAAAGATTGCAAAATAATTAATAAAAATTCAAATTTATTTTAATAATAAAACAAAAATGTAAATAGATTTTAATTCTAATTATAAATTTCAATTATTAAATTTGATAATATGTATAAAATTGATAGCTTTCATCGGTTCAGAGCTAATAAATATATAAAAATATTGTTTTTATTTCAAACTCACTTCAGTAAACCAATCCAGTCTTGCCTAATAAGTTAATAGTCATATTTATAGACAGAATATTCTTAACCAAATCTAATTGTGTTCACACTTTATTGAAGTGTATTCTCATGTGAAGACATATAGCAATTGTGTATATTGAGAGAGAGAGAGAGAGAGAGAGAGAGAGAGAGAACAAGACATAAACTAAATAACAATTTAATTGAATTTAAACATCGCTTACACTATTGAATGATAAAAAGCAAAAAACAACAGATATTGAGAACTTAAGGGTAAAACAAATAACTTTTAAGTGACATAACTATAAAAAGTAATGTCTTTTTTGTTTTCATACAATTTTATCGGAAGAGACGACATATCGACGGCAATTCTCTTCACAATATAATCAGATTATAGTCTCAAATATATTCCACTATTTTATTAGTCGCTGGAATAGGAAATTTGTTTTTACGGCATCGGCTCTGACCCCTCCAACCCTTCCCCCTCTCCATACATTTAATACATATATTTATTTATTACGGATAAAAGTTTTCCCAATTAATTATTATGTGACTCTCTCTCTCTCTCTCTCTCTCTCTCTCTCTCTCTCTCAGTCTATGAAAAACATTACACACAAGAAATCAATTAGTGAATCAATTTATTCATAATCTGGTAATCAGTGACACGAGAATGCAATCAATAATTATAATAACCAACAATTGAATGGCATGTGAAGAGACGGCTGACAGACAATAGTGTCAATCAATTGTAACCGAAATGCCATTAAATACTCAAATGTTTGTCCGAATAATCAAAAGTAATGATTTGTCAGACAATAAGACATACAATTATATTGAATGCGAGAGAAAGCAAATCCTTCATTTGATGTGAGATTTTATTGAAGCCTTAACTATAGCCGAGAAGACCATTGCCTGACATATAGTTATTTACTTTTGGCAATTAATTATTTGTCGGTCAAAACCATTATCACATGCCTAATGAGTGGTATAGTATTTGTTACATAAAATTACTGTATATTCAGCACATGTTTTCATAGACTTAAGAGATACTGGTTTTTGTCCGACACGTCGGTTATGTCGATATTAATTTCAATTACGGCTATAAGGCTATAGACAATGCGATACTCGGATTCGTATGGCATATAATCGTAAGCCTTAATCAATACTAATGAAAGGCAATCATATCTAACATTGAGATGAGATATAACTGCATATGAATTTATTTATGCGATAAATTGTGCCGTAAATATAATTAGATGTCAACTATACTGACGTTTATTACATCCAAAAGCCCTATAATATTGAAAACATATCTATTTATAGCGAGGATTATATTTCAAACACAACATTTTTGACACTTATATTAAATTCTTTAATAGTCATTATAATTGTTGAGAAATTATTGCATAGAATTGCCACTAAATTCTTTGCTGTCAATCAAATTAATTTCTTGATTTACAAAATATAATTTAATTTATTTTCTATTATCAAAGATCCTATAATAGGGCTGAGAGAGAGAGAGAGAGAGAGAGAGAGAGAGAGAGAGAGTCTCCGCATATTCTGAGCGATAAGAATGTGAGTGCAATGCAAAAGATGAAGAGAGAGAGAGAGAGAGAGAGAGAGAGAGACGACTGATAGTTAAGAGAAAATGTGGTGTAAATGTGTTGACATATAATTTGAAATACATGTCCAAACCCTATGTTGAAGTAATAGCAGAAGTCAAGTGACTGGGAATCCATATAATAAGGATCTGAAGTATACATTCTTGTCATAAACAGAACCATCGCTTCATATCTAATATAAAAATCTATTTTTTCCATTCAATGACTCTGTTATTGAATTTTTGTTCAAACATTTCTATTCACTAATCGACTACTCGTTTCTCACACACACTTACAGTATGTTTGATATCTTCAGTTTCAATATATTTTATACATATCTCTGACTGACGATTGAAAGCCAAACAATAGTGTAATACTGTATTTTAAAAAGGCAAAAATTTTAAGGCATAAATTTGCATATTTTCGCAATTTCTCCATTATATGAGCTGTGAATTGAAATGCGAGACTCAATAAACACATAGTTTGAAGAAATGGTATATAAAAAAAAATATGATTTGAATATTGCTTTTCCAGTGGAAGTAAATAGCAGTGAAATTCTTCAATACTGTAGTGAATAGGCTATCAATCATACGTTAAATGAAATACTATTCAAGTCATGAAAGAATTGATGAGAAATATTCAGCACATGTTTCGCTCACTTCTCTCTTCATCTTTTGCATTGCACTCACATTTTGTCGGATCAATAAATATAACATAAAACTCATTATAATTACACGACTGTCTGTAATTTGGTAATTATTTTCTTAAAAATGTCATTAAACGCACATTAATTTGTTTCATACAGTATTACAGTTATGTGTTATTAACATAATATAAAGCATAAGAATATATTTTTATACATTGCCTTTTTGACCCAAATATGAGTAAAATTACATTTACACAAATTGTGAAAATTTTATTTGCCATTTTATATCATAACAAATTAAAGCGAATACTTTTGTCTAACTTATGACATAATAATTGGATCCAATATTCAATAACCGATATCTATGGCTCATATGTGTACGTAAAACATATTTTTAATTATTTTACCATTTAAATTGTTAAATAACGTACGGAATAACACATTGTATAGGAATTTAGATGTTTGATAATAAATTATATTTTTGTTTTTTGTGTAACAAATCTGAAGAATAAATGAGTTAACCATAGTTTTGATAGCATATGTATTAGTGGCCATCAATTAATGTCAGCCACATCTGCGGCCACAGAATATTCTCTGCACTCCAATCGATGCATTCAAGTGAGCAATGGATTAATACCATAAGATATACCATAAGATACTCTCCGAAGAAATATAATCACAACTAGCGGTGGATTTATTTAAATATTTTGCCAAATATATTAATCAAAACGCATAAGTGATAACGAAAACAACAAATTAAACCGTTATTTGCCTTTTTTGTAGCGCAAAATGTTTGACATAAAAATCAATACCAGATATGATTTGTTTTTGTTGTTTCGTTTCGCCTATTCTTATCCTTAACTCTGGAAATATGAGCACAAAAACGACTTATTTGTCAAAATATTTCATTTATCCGATCAAATGATAAAAGTATTTTTTCCTCTCTATATTTCACCCGATTCTGCAGCGATTACTTTGCGCTGTAATGCCTATCAATTATTAGTTTATTTGTGTCGGTTGGCCATCAACTACTGCCTACTGTTGTAGTGGTTGTTATCCCTACGACTGTTCACTTGAGGCATAAGAAATTATATACAGAAATATGGTTTTACTTCTTCTCAAACAATGAGTTCATTAAAGAGTAAACAATAAATAAAAATAAGAGACAAAAAACTTTTTGTGTGATTTATTTTATATAACTTGATATATTCATTATACGATGTATTGGTTTCTATTGGTCTTAAATATTTATGTCTCCGCATATTCTGAGCGATAAGAATGTGATAAATAATACAATAGATTTCAATTTATTCAATACTGTTATCAAATATAATGTCCGCTTATTTTTGTTGCTATTTTCCCCACTCATTCCCAACGCGATAGTTGTGAACAAAAATAAAACTTTATTTATATATTCAATGAATTTATAAATCACCGCATGTTTTGTTTGTTTGGGCAAAGAATATAATGTGTTTTGCTTTGTTTGGCTGTTTTGAACGGTTCTCAATATTTCATGTCTAATGTAAAGTACTATTGACTTAAATCTCAGATATGGGCGGCGGAGGGGAGAGTCTGTCACCTGAAGAAAAGGAAAGATTAGCTCAATTAGAACAGGAAAGACTCGAAGCGCTCAGGTATGTCATTATATACGGTATATCCCTATATATACACCATTATATACATTATATAACTGCGTCTACAGTGCACTACATTATATACATTGTTATCTACTGTATAAAAGTTGTCTAATAATACCTAACATAAGCTTATGATTTTGCGATGAAGTGATACACAGAGACACTGTATCTCTCATTTCGTATTAATTATTTATTTGCAAATAATTAGATAAAATACTTTGAGAGATGTGTCGGCGAAATATATCTTCAATTTGGCTCGTATTTAGCGTTAGTGCCTCTAAAAGCTAAACGAATATACAGTATATATAACTTATAAAACACTTTTACTTTCACATCATTTCATAAAATTTTACAGAATTTTCAGTGGATTTTTTGAAAGAAATTTATTTAATGAATACTCACTTTTAATGAATCAATTTATTTTCGGCTCACATTAAAGGGAGAAAAGGAAAATCTTATATCTAGTGTTTTTTCTTCTACTGTCGGTGTGTTTTGTTTTTTATTCACTAAAACTCTTCAATGATTTTTTATTTCCCTTTTTTGTGTTCATTAAACCTAAAGCCTTAATACAATTAAATATAAATCACAAACAATAGCAGCGATTATTTCAAATACTCTCCAATGAATTAAAACTAAAATTCCTTTATTTATATTCTTTTACGCTTTTCTTCCCATCGTTTTTATATCCATTGAAAACAAACAAAACATAACTAAAAACCCGACAAAAACACAGAGAACAAGAAGACCGGAGACGAGAGAAACACAAGAAACTTGAAGATGAGAGAGAAAAGATGCGGAAAGGGATTAGGGATAAGGTATTGCTATCACAGCACGTCTTTCTCCCACCTCTCACTTTCTGTCCACAAAATACTTATGTCTTATGTATTTGAGACTAAATAATAGACTTTCATTTGTTTTGTTGGTTTGGTTTTGCACTTCATTTTCAGTACAATATCAAGAAAAAAGAGCAAATAAGTCGCGAAGAGTCGCTGAATCAAGAAATCAAGAAACAGGACTCCGTTTGTTCAGAAGGAGGTCTCAATCGGCGGAAGAAAACACCCGAAGAGATGACCGCCGAAGCAGAGGAGGCGGATCTCGACGAGTTCACGAGTCAGTTGTCTATTGTTTTGTATAATTTTCCACTAATTATTTATTGAAATTTTATGCACACTTTGAGTATTGAAATTATAGGCTATTGTGTATGAAATTTGTGTTGTTTTAGCAGAAAATCAGGAAAGAGTCGCTAAATTTTAAGCTCAATTTAAAAATCAATGTGTATTTTAGCAAAGAAATTGTTGACTCGACTATAATAGTGCACAATAAGTAAAACTATTGAGAAAAATGCCGTAATTTATAACTTTTATTATACAGCAAAAGCTAATCCGACGCAAAGAATTTCAAAAATCATACTTTATTTTAGCCATTAATGAAATACTTATTTCAATAATTTTCTTCTTTTTCCTAACCGTAATAATAATGAATAATAAATTCATAGTCTTATACATAATGTTATTTTGTGTGTGTTTTTATGCATTTAATTCTAAGATTATTTAAATTTATTCCTAGTTTTACCGCAAATACAGTGCACTTCTTATCATAAAATAAGTTTTTTTTACTTCAAACATAATCTTCATAATTAATAGCATGTAATATAGTTTCGGAGCCATTAGTTGTGTAAAGTATTTGCTTTTTAAGTCAAATGAAACCTAATTTTAAATATAAGTAACAGAAATATAGGCAAATAAATGAGAAAATAGTTTTCAGTTAACTTAGGAATAGGAGAAACGAAATCTCAAATTGTTTATCATTTACTTTATTGTATGTATAAATGAGTGTAGCCTTTGAAGAGATTGCTGTAACATTAAGTTAAACTTACGATAAATTATTTGTAATCAAAAATAAATGATTTTGAAAATAATCATGTTTTTATTATAACGATTATATTTCAGTTGTGTTTATTATGTATTTATTCAGAAGACTTTGTATAAAATAACTAAAATATGTTTAAACTATTGTTTTTTCTTCGGGTAAACACTTTTGAACAATTTTATAGTTTAATAGCATATGAAAAATGGGATTTGAATTTACAATTTACTGTTTTATAATACAATGTTTGCGTTGTTTTGTGCCATAAATTTGAGATATGAAACCAAATTGTAATCGCATTTATTTTGTACACAGAATTCAAGAATTCAATTGAACACCGATTATCAGACCTGAAGAACTCATTAGAGTCCCGGTGTGTCATTCAATGAATGCCATTCCCATGTATAACAACATGACAGTCACTACCTGTGCTACGAACAAACACCATGTTCACTTTATCACTTGGTCAACCATGTTGTGCTATAATCAATATACATCCTGGTAATTCATGTGACAATATAGCTATATATGTACAGTAAATATAAAGTAAATATTACGTGAATAATATTATTTGAATATTAGATAAGAAATGTAATTATAATATTAATACGCGAATAACACTCTTGTTTCACATGTAATTGTGTGACAAAATAAAAATAATTATTATTTGAATATAACATTACATTAAAAATACAATTATATGTAAAGACAATAGTAATAAATGTGTCGATTTTATATGAAGAAAACATAAGTTTCAACATTTGATATGCAAAATGTGTTTCTAATAAACAAATCATTTATTATTATTATATCGCATATAATTTGGTCGTTAAATGTTATGCATCATTATTTTTATCAGCAAATGAATTACACCATAAAAACACATTATGTATGTTATTTAGCCACAGAAGCACAAAATTGTGAAATACATCACATCAAATTTTAAACTAATTTACAGACTTTACACACAAATCTTTTGTTGTAATTTTTATAACGGAAAATCAATTTTAGTGATAAAATTAGTTTCAGAAAATATGCGCTCAGTTTATATTCAGACCTTAATTATATTCATTGTAAACATTTATAATATATTTTACATAGAATTTATGGACAAATAAAATCTAAGCATTAGTTTAATTTACATTAAAAGTTATTATAATTTGGATGTTTTATATTTGCATTCAGTAGAAACACATCCAAACTTTTATTTGTAAAAATTAGATAAAAATTCATTCAATTCGATAGTAAACTAACACTAAATATGTGTTATTATTAATAACGTTAATAATTATTAAAATAAATGTTATTAAATATTAGCAAAAACAGTATTATATTGCTATTATATAAAGCGATAAAATGATAATTTCTATGTAAATTGTAAAGTGTTTTAGCAAAGAAAAACTCATTAATAATTTCATTAGAAATTTAATGAATAGCTATTGAATATTATTATATGAATATTAAGGAAAATATTTTGCAGTTTTGTTTTTTCTGATGCAGAAAACATCTTCAAAGTCAATAAAAAAAACTTGATTTGCATATGAATTATGATGAAAACAAATGTGTTTATATTTATACATCTATCTGAAAACATTTCTGCCAACAAAATAATTATATTATAATAAGTAAAGTATATGCGAATGAAATGAATGCATGTTTTTCGGACGATATTTGCATTTCAAAAGGAGTATTGAATTGAAATAATTATTGTATAAACACATTATTATTGAAAACAACATTTTATCCGATTATTAGTTTTTATTATATAATATATACAGTAAACATAAAGGATAATATAAATTAATAAACTCATAATCTATCCATTTATATAACAATAACTACAAACTAAATGTTAAAATTCATTGCGAGAGATATATTTCTCTCCCAAAAATTATACATTAAATATGATATAAAATAAAAATATAAAATAAGATAATTGTTTTATATACAAGAAGAGACAGGATATACAACGAAATATCCAATAAAACACTTTAATTATAACATTTAATCTATTTAATAATATTTATGTAATTTTATTTATTGTTATAATAAGTGTGAAATATTGTTATTTTATTTATTATAATTGTTATTCATTTTTTGCTATTATATCGCAAAATAATATTTGTAATGTTTTTTGTTATTATCAACAAATTTAATGTTATTATTAAATATTGTAATGAAATTAGGATTTCAATTGATATTGTCATAAGTTATATGATTATTGTACAAAATAAATACTGTATATTACAGTATATGTTGGCTAACAATCATAAGGTGTTTATAAACTAAATGTAAGTTTGATTTGGGAGAGGATTGTGGTGTATGTGATATACACCTTATGGTTGCCGCATATACTAAACAATAGTGGCAATGATTTAACCATTATTTGTATAAAAGTTTAGATTAAATATTGAATTGATTTCGCATTTATTAATAAAATGTCAAATTTGTGACCAAACAAATTGTGTTTCATTTGTTACTAAAACCTTAATGAGGAGAATATATATAGAATTTAACGTAAAATAAAATTTAATGATTTTTCACTTAAGAAATGCAGAGTTTAATATCTAAACATAGTTTATAATTACCTCAATTTGTAAATATTATACACAATATGCATAACATTAATTTTAACGACAGTCTACTATACATAAATTGGATATTGTATAAAAGTTGGCAATACTTTTATTAATTCAATTCTTACCTTAAAATAATCCAAACCCAAAAATCAAAATGAAATCCGTGTCTATAAGAACTTTCGGTAATTATATATAATATGATTATTGAAGTGAGTGTTTGTTTAGGCCTTTTTGTGTGACTTTTTTAATACTCATCTCAAGACAGATATTGTGTCCAAAAGTAGGCTAAAGAAGTAGAGAAGTAGTTGTTTAGCGACAATACTATTGTCAATATTATAGAGGATTTTGATGGCAAATCAGTCGTTTGATTGCGACAATGGATTGTTAGCAGAGATACCAACAAAAAACAACCGGAGATTTAAGAGAAGTTTTAAAAGATTTAACGACAACTTAACTGAAGAGTTGTTACCAGTATTTGTATGGTTGAGGACAAGACAAACACACACTTGTGGAGAGAGTGTCCAAACACTGTGTTTAGCCATATGTTTGTCGAAAGCAAACGAAACTCATTATAAGACAAACCAGAAGTGGATTGTGTTGTCGTGAGAGAGAAGTGGTGTTCAGCCGATGAACACTATATCATTTGTGTGCAATCGGTTTGCAGACATGTCTTTCAATATATTCTCAAATCGGATTCATTTGAAATTATTAAGAGATTTTTGAGACATAATTTGGGAGATATTTGTAATTATGATGGCTTTACTGTATTTTATTATATTTTCTAATCGATTGATTTTGACATTGATTTCCAGCAAATAAATGGATCTTTAATTTCATGTAAAGGTCGCATAAAATGCACTTAAATTACTTGAAAAGAGCCTACAATTTGGTCAATACTTTAGAGATATAATTACAGATTGCAATGAAAGCAAAAATATAGTTTAAAATCTCAAACAACTATTACTTTACTGTACTGTATATGACATGATGTGTAGGGATAGAGAGAAAGGGATTTCTAATTTGTGAGCACCGGATAATTGACTTAATTTCCAATATAAGTCTAAAATGATAAGCAATTATTTACTACATTTATGAATAGGATCTCCATTTTAATAAGCTATTTGCATAATTCATGAATAATTTAAAATTCATTATTAAATTACTGAAGAGTATTGAATGAATGCTAATTGAAATGTCAATCAAAGTTTAGTCTAAATCTCTTTGGATGATAAAAATGTTTGAAATACAAGTTTCAATAAAGTCTCTATCGATTGATTAAAAAATCGATAACTTTTACACAAAAAATAATTATAATTTTGTGAATCCCTAAAGAAGTAAGAAAATATCTCTTGAGATACAGTTTTAAGAGGCAATCAATCACTACATCAACGGATAACTTCTTCAATAACGAAGGATTACAACAAAAAATAACAAACAATAAGGACTTGCCTTCCGATCGCCAAAATTGAATTGAAAAAAACAAAAGGATTTAAAAGTTTAGATAAATAAATAGCAAATAAATAAAAAACACATTTTTATAATATTTACAAATAAATGTAATTTTTATTTTGACTTTTTTCAAAATCCAAATGTCGGGCACTTATTATAATTACAATTAAGTTTAATGTTTAATTATTTTTTATGGCAACAATTGTTTTGTCAAAATTGGCTAAAATTGATGTATAATCACACCCAAGACACTAATAGATAGAGATTGAGACACGAGTTTGACAATCAATTTCTTAATAATAATAATAATAATAATATTAGTGTTAATAATATTATTGTATAATAACTAACAATTTTAGTAATCGTTTTGTTTTTTGTTTTGCAAATTCTTATCTAAAATTATAATTATTATAATATTTTTAACTCTCAAACAATACTTTATCGACATTAAGATTCAGAATTTTCATCATTTGTTTTGTATGTATTTTTATCAATAATAGTTTTAAATCACATTTAATTTTACTCTCAAGTTATTCTTCATGTCTAAAATGAGTTTATATATTGAAAACAATAGGTTGTGTTTAACATTAATTTGAAAGTTACCATATAGTTATGTCTAAATTTGAATTCATGTTCAAATTTTTAATACAATCGTATGGTTGTTCAATGTTAGTTAAATTTAACAATAAATATATAATAAATTATAATTAAATTTATAGTAATAATAATAATACATAAGATATTTTTGATTAAATACATTATAATATATATTCTTTGTACAATAAATCTAAATGAATAGGAATTGCAATAATATTTTATAAATATAGATTTTTCATATATTTATATAATATATTAATTATCATATGTAATGACAACATAACATGATAGGTTATAACTGGAATTTAATTAAACAATTAGTTTAATAATAGATTTCAGATAAAATTCTGATAGTTTTTACTAAGAATTCAATTGCAATCACTATTTATAATAGATATATATATTAGAGAAGAAAAACAATATAATTTAATCGGGGATTAGGGGGTAAAATGCAATTACAATTTTGGTGAGTATATGCCAAATATGGTACTCAACCAAAAACATAAATGTTATATTCATTTGCTTTTCTCTACGAAATGGGTATTGAATGTAAACCAAAAATGTTTATTAATATACATATATAGAGATCTCTACACACAATTCGTTGTTGATCTACCTGTTTTGGGGGGTCATGACCTCGAGAGCTTCATTATTACCCCGATTATATATTAATTAATGAAATTTTTGTTTATATTTTATATATATTAACAATAGAGAGGAGTTTTATTATAATTGTTATTAGTTTTAAAGTTTTTTTTTCAAGTCTTACTTACATTAGGATTATATTCTGAGAGCAAATTACAAGTAATTTATATATGAATTTTACAATTCATTACAATTTTAATGAATTTTGTATTATTTATCGATTACTAAAAACAAAATAATATATACATTACTTTTAGAGAATTGTTATTAACTTTAAAATCATAGACTATTGGTATATAAGTTTATTTGAAGCCTTGTTTTACAGCACTATTTATACTAAATTAAAGTTTCATTTGTTTTTTAGATTTGAGAGCATTTATATCCTTCAAAGGAATAGAAAAAACTGATTAATTTTTAGGTAAAATTGGATTTGAATTTGCATTTACAGGGTTTTCATGAAATAAAGGTTTTGCTTTGTATACGAGTTTGAATTACAATTAAACAATTGATTAAATTATTTGTTATATTTATATATATTTGAATATAATTTACATGTTTTGTGGGCGTTTTGCCCGTCAGTTGTCTATAGAAACCTGTTTTTCATCATTTAATTTTATATTACATTTAGTTTTGACAGAAAGTCTATTTAGAAATACTTTTACACAAATTGTTTCGTTTATTTATTATTATTTTAATTAATAATAATTATTATAGTATTTGTTTACAAAATCTATCACTTTTATTGTAATATGAAGTCTATAATTAAGTATAACTTTGAGTTTTACAAAATCATTCAATCACTTGCACTAAAAACGAAATATAATATTGTTATACAAATGGAGACCAAATATTACATAATTATAATAATTTTAATTTAAAGTTTGCTAAAATGAAAACATAATATAAAATTCTTCACAAATTATATCACAAATTGTCTTGAATTGAAAAATAATGAATTTTTTAAACATAAAATATTTGAAAACAAATTTTAATTTAATTTTAGGAGAAAACAAATTTCTAAAAAAAAATTTCGTTACGAAACGGGAATTTTATTTTTTATCAGAATTTTTTTATTGTAATATTTTTCTATATTTTTTCTCTAAAATCTAATACCAAATATATATATCATATTTTTATAATATATTGTATTTAACAATATCTCTATTATTAATACCTTTAGATAAATAATTAATATCTGATTTTTTGTTATTTCGTTTTATGAATAGCAATATCATTGAAGCATAAGACATGTGGCAATAAGTTTTGCATCAATTTATTTTATTTTAATCATTTAATTATGTATTAATTATCTATAATTGAAATGCAAGCGCAAAACATATCCAAACCCTTTCCTATGAATTATTTCTAAGATTTTGTTTTTATTATTTCAATGCTATTAAATGGCAAAAATAGCTCACATTTCTTGGTTTGTTAAATACCCGCACTTTAAGAACTTTTGTCATTAGATTTTGTTTCAAATCCTAATTTGGTTTATAATTGTTTTGTTTTATCATTCATTTCCAAACGCCGGGAGTAAAGAAAATCAATTCATAAATTATAACAAAACGCCTCCTATTTATAGCGCATTTTTTGTAATCATATTATATCGTAAAAACTAATACAAAAAATCATTTCTTTAAATATTTATATATTTTTTAGTCAATCACTAAAATGTAGATTAGTTTTTGTCTTACAATTTGTTAGTAAAATTTGTTTTACTTCTAAAAAAGCGTTGGTTTCGACGGTCGGTATGCAGTTATCTCTCTATTTATATATAAACTATACAAAGCATATGAATATCCGATGAAAATAACAGTTATTTTCTTTGTTAAAGAGCAAAGAAACACACATTCAAAATGTTTATCATAACAATTCAATCACTCAATAATATAACATATGGTAAGAATTTGGTGAAAACAATATTTATATATTTTGCTATTTGTTTGCAATATTTTGCTCGTGTCGTCCTCTTCTTCATCGTATTAATTATAATACCAATAATAATAAGAATATTTTTATGAATGAATTAAAATTGAAATTATGTTTTTTTATGGTAAATATAGATATATTTTTCGTTCACACAATTGCATAGCAATAAACAGTAGAAACGATTCTGGCGTTCAAATGGGAGAATAAAACTACAACAAACCCAAAAAACATTTACATCCATAGCCTGTGTTATACAGTTATACAGTAAATATAAATCACTTTTAATAGATATTTCACTTTAGTTTTATACTATTTTTATATTATTATTAGTATTTCGTTTCGCTTTCTCTCTATCTTTGCCTGTCTTTCGGTTTTCATTCATTTCACTTCTTTTCTGTTCATTTTCTTTAATACAATCTCTTTGTTATTAAACGCCTTTTTATATCCATTTATATATAGAGTGTATTATATAAATGCAATGTTGGGTCCATTCGGTGTGACATTTGTGGCACTAATAATACATTTTTCCTGCAAATAAATGCTATTCTTTTATCGAAACCTTTTTTGTCATTTTTCTTCACAACAATTATTATATTTTTTAGTTTTCATTCAGAATATTACTGTATATTCTTTTGGCTCCGTTTTATACACTTTTTCATTCATTCATATCGTGTCTCACAAATATATTTGTGGCTAATTTTTTTGGATGATATTATTTGAAACATTTTTCATGTAAATAATATATATTTAAATAGTAATACTAATTTGTAATAATATTAATAGTAATGTTATATATGTTTTTCAGTTTGTCTTTTGTATTTGTATGGTATTTGTATTGAGTCTTCAAACGACGGATATAAATGTTTAAATGTTATTTTTGTAATTAATTATATATAATATTAATATATATTTTGAAACCGTTTTGTATATACTATTAATAATAATTATATATAATATAATTTGTGGTGAAATCTATTGTATTGAACACTTCTCTTCGATCTGACCCTTTATATCATTCACTTGTGTTTCGATTGAATTTTTTAATTCTGCAAAAATAGTCAAAAAATAAATATATTCAGCAAAATATTGTATTCATTAACACATTTATAAACACAATAATTATAGACATAATTGAAAATTAACAGAAAATATTCAAAATGATAAACATTTAAAAAGAAATGCAAAAACAAATAAAAATAATATTAATAGAAAAGTTGGGAATAAATTATTTAAATATTCAGAGAGAGATAAATGCTTTACAATCGGATTATATATTGCTTTCATATATATTTGGCAACAATCGGAAAGAAATGCTTGCATTTAACGAGTTTAACACAAAATGAGATTTTAAATCAATTCAATTGATTTATTTCCACATTTCATTTGCAAATATCGGATAAAAATAAAATTAAATTAAAAGTCAAACATTGATTTATAGTGCGAAAAATAGCGTTGGAAATAGCAAAAATGTCACAAATAAAGTTCACAATAACACTTACTGGTAAAATCATCCTGGTCAGCCGCAGCAGCTTCGGCGGCGATCTCTTCGGGTGTCTTTTTGGACCGATTGACACCTCCGGCGGCGGTTCCCATACGCTCTTCCATTTCCTTCTTGAGCTCCGCCTCCTTTTCCTCTCTTTTCTTAATCCCGTACTAAAGGATGAAAACAAATGCAAACAATAGGTAAGCGATTTGAACACATCTATTGGCGTAAGCCTTAGAAATACAATTTGCGACAAAAAAATATTGGCACAAAATCTACTAATTGATAGAAAAGCTATTGACAACTAAAAGGTTTGACTGGAAATAATTATAACACAAAATAAGAGACTAATCAATGAAACGGTGAAAATGTAATAATAAAAAGAGCGAAAACAATGTGAAAGGAAAGTTTGGATTCATATTGAAAGAGAAAAAGTGATGCAAAAAATATAATAAACAGTAAAATACAAATCATAATAATGGACAAAAACATTAATGCAATTGAAATGTATTGTGAGTGAGAAATATTGAGTGAGAAAATCAATTGAGAATCGATTTCAATATAAGAGCACAAAAATAATTGTGTATTCAATATATTCTATGTATTAAACACAGAATTGGAGGCACAAAAAACACCACAAGAATAATATACAGTATAGACATTTATTTCGTATAATATATGGTTAATATTTGTTGTAGTGATCATACCTTATCTCTGATGCCTTGTCTCATGCCTTCCCTCTCCTCTTCCATTTTCCTGTGCTTTTCCTGACGTCTCTCCTCCGCCTCCCGGAGAGCATCGAGTCTTTCGGTTTCTAATTGTTGCAGTTTCTCCTTCTCCTCAGGTGTCGGACCCTCTCCTCCGCCGATGTCTAAGCAAAACAATACAAACAATACATTATATCCATTAGTTTAGCCATTGATACACACAATGATAATTAACTATTGGTATAGTTTTCGTACGGATGTCTGCTTAACGAGTGTAACCGTTAAGGAATGCAAAACTATTTGGTAGTAAATGAGGTTTCGGTGAGAATTGTTTTTTCCCAAATATACCGTAATATATATAAAGTTGTTGTTTTCCGATGAAAAACTATCAACTTTTTTGGGTTCAATTTGTGTAATAATATAAAGAAACTAATGATTACAACAGTGAGTGTGAAGTAATGAGAATTTGTTTTACCGTTTCTACTTTTACTTCTCTAAACTCTCTCTCTCTCTCTCTCTCTCTCTCTCTCTCTNATCCAAACATTTACTATTTACTGATTTTATATTTTATTAATATTATAGTCTCTGTATCTCCCACTCTCTCTCTCTCTCTCTCTCTCTCTCTCTCTCCTTACAGTGTTTTGTGTGTTAAGTATTACAAACACAATAGTATTGGTAACCAATAAGTGAACCGTTGTTTAGTTGATTACGACACGTATGGGCGCTATGTTTGGTCTCTGTATTTCAGAAATACAGGGACTAAACAACACACAAATGCAATGCAATAATAACTGACACAAACGCCAGACAATTGGACCGAAACTTTTCTCTTCTATCGAACCGTACTTTTCGGTGCATTTATTTATACGAAGGCCAGTGAAGAGTGAGTTACGAGAGAGAGAGAGAGAGAGAGAGAGAGAGAGTCATTAAATGATGTGTTTTCTTGCAGTTGCGTGAATGGACAGGCAATGGAGGGCTTATGGATCAGCCAAATATTCAGTCATTGAGGGCCACACATAGACACATACAATGGCCACACTATTGATAGTGTATTTGGTGTTTGATAGATAGGACCGGCTATTTATATCGTTCACGCATTCATTTTCGTTGAATAACATTTCCGATGCAATTGTGTGGTCACAGACAGGGATGTTGTGTCCATACTATCTAATCATTGGCTTTGCAATCATACGTATTGTTCATTGATTTCTATCTTATATACTGAATATTCAAAATAAAATGCATTATAAATATATACAGTGTATTAGTGTATGTATTTTTAGCATGAAATTAATATTCATGTTAAACATTAATTTCTGTTATGATTTCTGTAATCGATTTTTACATTAACTCTGTTTTTCTATAATAATAATTACATATAATTAATGATATGCAAAAATATTTGTAATAAAATATTTATTTATATTATTATTGATTTATTACAAAGGATTTTATGCGTTTGTATTTTCTATTATTTATTGGATATTATTTTAATAAAACCCATAAGAATATGGAGTTAAACTTAAAATGTAAATAATATCATAATAAATATGTTTTTATTACAGAATATTTTCAAGTAATAATAATTTTTAGTTTAATCTTGTTTAATAAACATTAAATTATGATCGCATATAAAGTGATGCATTGAATTAACAAATAAATATTGAATCAAACAATTCTGTGCCACAAAACGAAATAATTAATATTAAAATCGATAAATAGCTTATCGTTATCAGAGAAGTCATTTAGAAATACAGGAAATTATAATCATTGTAACTATATCTAGGGCTCAGACATAGCTTAACAATATGTTGTTTATTGTATTTGTATGACTAGAATATTCTGACTTTAAATGTAATTAAAAGATAATTCCTAATAATAGAAATTAAACAAATAATTTAGATTTTATTTAATTGTTTATATATTTGTGATTAAAATGTAATGTTGTTTTTGCTACAAATGTTACTCACAAACAGAGATGTATTAACCCATTATAATTAAAGATTTAAATGCAAATATATATTGTAATTATATCCAAACATTTACTATTTACTGATTTTATATTTTATTAATATTATAGTCTCTGTATCTCCCACTCTCTCATCTCAAAAATATTACTTTTATTATTTTTTGCAATAGATATTTCATATTTTTAGATATGTTAAAGTTTTATAAATTTTTCTTTAAAGTATTTTAATTAAAATATTGATTATTTGAAGTATAATTTACAGCAACTGATACTATATATGAAATATTTACTTTTTGTTACATAAAATCGATAAAATATACAAAACGAGTTTCAGTTCAACGAAGAATTAAAAAACTGAGTATAATATAAATATAATAACAATAACCTCTGGTATATATCGGGATAATTACATCGAGAATACAGTGAAATAAGTGAACCAATTAATGGTAAAAACAATTCCCAAATGTCATCGATGTTTTATGCATCTCGTATGAATTGAAAGATAATTTTTGTTGAAAACATTACTAAAAATCTACATATTATTTGATTTTAGGTTTCAAAAACTCGATTACATAATTGGAAAATGAATGAATGATTTTTTCATGTAATTTATTTTTTTGTGTACAATTGTATGTATTATTCAAAATAAGCCCACATTTCGTGATCCAATTCAAAACCATAAACAGAATCGCGATTTGAAATATGTATTAAATTTTTCTAAATTTGATGAAAATTTCTAAATCTTATCACGTCTTCAAATGGTATATAGTTTTGCCAAATAATCTCAATTGGCTTTAAGTTCGCACAACATATATGTAATTCCCAACTAATAAAATACCAAATCATGTATTTGTGTGTGGGTGAGAGAGAGAGAGAGAGAGAGAGAGAGATTGTTATTTCTTTGTCCACTTCCCAGGGCTGTTATAAAGTGATTTATAATTAAATATACTGTAAATGTAAACGTGTGGACAAACCTTTGCGGAGTAATTAACTGATTTCTGGTCAATTGCCGAACACAGAGAGGACAGGTGGCACTCGTGGCCAGCCATTGAGTAATGCAAATGCGACAATACTTTTGTCGACAACATGTTGCAATTACCGGATTGTTAAATTCCTCCTGGCATATACTACATTCATTATCTGGCTCATATCTGGCCATTTTTTAGTAACAAACTATATAATTTGTATTACGTAAATAACAAATGTTTAGGGTGTGGTATATTGTAGTTTCAATGGCGTCAACACTAATAACAAAATTAAAGTTTTTTGCAATTTGTGACTCATATATCTAGACATATTTGTATCGAATTACTTTGTTTATAATTCTAATGCATAATTAGTTTATTACAAACAGAGAATATGAGAATCAGAAATATTCTTATGTAGTCTATTATCATAAACAACAAGCCTTTATATTTTATGAATAAGTTTAATAAAATTGTAATAAAACAATGAATTGAATAAAGTGATAGATACTAGTAGTTGAGGAGAAAGACTGGACCCAAAAAGTAGATATAAATAAGCCGAAAAATAATAAATTAATAGAGTTTTATAGAGATAGTAGTGTTTAAAAAACGCGCGTTTTTTAGCACAGCATAGTATAGAATACAAGAACTATAACAGAGACAGAGAATTTTATTATTGGAAAATCGTAGATTCAAAACCTGAACCTAGAAAAATTCAAGGACCAATCACTGTTCATAAAATGTTTAAAATAAACAAAAGCAATTCAGCTGGCATTGTATTTACTATTCCTGAGTTAAACGGTGAAAATTCTGGATTTCTACTGGCTCGATATTTGGATGGCACTAATGAATTTGCTTTGACTCCGTATCAGCAAGAATTGGATAGGCCACTATCAGCATCGACTACTTTGTATACAAATGAAGTTCATGGAATTGGCAAATCACACATAACAGAAATACTAACATCTGAGTATAGCAAAGTTTATACGGCCCCCAATTTAGTTGCTAAAGATTTCAACAAGCGTGGTGAATTTTATTTATACGCTGCAAATGTCAAGGAAATATTGCCCGGCCCCATCACTAAAGACCACATAAACAAGATTTTGAAAATTGCTGGTCCAAATCTTGTGTTCCAGGCTGCTGACGATTCAGTAAATCCAGAACCTTTAGCTGTGCGGGTGTCGCGCGGAAAGATTGTTCTTGTGTCATACCAAGCTGAAAAGGTTAAAAAACTTACTGATTTGGGCAAGCTTTATACTCCATCGATCAAACGGAGCGTTGACGGTGAAGTCGTGTATAAATGCCCTATATTGCTTCACCTATAGCGCCGTCCGTAAGCTAGCGAGATATATATAACGCTGTAATAATTTGGACACAATCAACCATTGTGCCTCCGAGTTAACAATTCTGCACAGCTCTACCCGTCTATTGCAGAATTTCGTCATCAAGTTAACTTGAAATATCAAACATTGTACTACTATCCACTAATCCGCAACGAATTTGACGAAATCGAAGCCGATACAAAAGACGCTGTAAACAATCAGATAAACTTTGCGTTTGGTGGCACTAGTTTGAAGTTGCATTTCCGAAAAAAACCTTACAATGTCTTCGAATCATTATACAAACTATTACGTTAATCAAGCTGGTGGTGGCTTAGCTGGCTATGAAGGCGTTCGCTTCCAAGGCGCAGGAATATTTGGAGTATTGAAGAGTGCATTTATGCCTTTATTAAAATACTTGGCACCAAAACTATTGGCCACAGGTTCGGCTGTTGCTGGCGACATCCTCGCCGGGCAGAATGTTAAAGAATCATTCAAAACTCATGGGAAAAAACAATTCCAAACAATGGCTGGTGATTTATCTGAGCGTGCTCAAAAATTTGCCCAAACTGGAAAGGGTGTGGCCAAACGGAAACGACGAGTACTTAAGTCGAAATCAAAAACTAAAACTCGCAGAACACCGCGAAAGAGGGCAAAGAAAACATCAACAATTTGGTAAAACATGGCTCTAATAAACCAACAAACCCCGGCTATTGCATTGACAGATTTGGACATATTTGTTACACCTCCAGCTCAAGCTTCAATCGAGTCAACCAAAGCGTACGAAATTCGTCCGATATCACAACTAAACAGTGGTGGACATATAGAGTTGATTTCTGCTAGTGGTTATAATGAATATACGCGAATGAATGAAACGACATTATGCACTAAATTTAAAGTACATTTGAAAAAGAAAGATAATGCTGCTATTACTTCCGCTGACTGGTTAAATGTATGGTTGGTAAACAATCCACTTCACTCGATGTGGTCTCAAGCTGATTTGTACTTGGGCGATATCCAAACCACCGTATCCCTCAACACATATCCGTATAAAGCATATTTTGAAACAATTTTATATTCAACTGAAGCCAGCCGAAAAACGTATTTAGAATGTTGCGGTTTTAAAAAAGACGATATGACAACGCCTGATACATCAGTTGAATATCGACAAAAATTGATTGCAAATGAGAGTGGCGAAAAGCATATTGGGAAACTTGTTGAATTGGAAGGAAAGCTACATTTGGATTTATGCTCGCAACCCAAATATTTACTTGGCGGCACCAAATTAAAACTTGATTTAATACCAAATAAAAATGAATTCATATTTATGTGCACCGATGCTAACATTATGCCGAGTATTGTGTTTGAAGAAATTTATCTCAACGTTCATAAATCTAAAGTACACGATAGTATTATCGAGGGGCATTTGAATGTTTCGCCTGCCAGATATCCTATAACACGAACAGAAGTTCGCTCAATAACAATCGATAGAGGGGCACTTAACCGTAATTTAGAAAACGTCGTGAATGGACAATTGCCTAGACGTGTGTATTTGGCGTTTGTTGCCAACGACGCTTACACCGGATCTTTCACTAAAAACCCTTTTAATTTTCAGCATTTTAACATATCACACGTAGCATGTTATGTCAACGGCGATCAGTTCCCGAAACGAGCATTCACTCCAAAGTTTGACAAAGATTTATATACAAGAGAGTATCTGACGCTGCTCAACAGTATGAGTCAATTCTCTAATGACTCAAAAACACTCATCACACGCAAAGACTTTAAAACAGGTTACACTATATTTGGCTTTGATCTAACTCGCGACTACTCCGACGGGTACCAGCAAAGCGGGTATGTTGATGTCCCACGCGAAGGCGTTCTAAGGATTGAACTTCAATTTTCGGAACAATTAAGCGCAACAATAAACGCACTGGTCTATTGCGAGTTTGACAATCTACTTACAATTAACGAAGAGCGAAACGCCTACCTCGACTATCATTAAAATGGAAGCTCGAGAGATTGAACAACAGTTGAGACACACTGATCATTTCATTGGTGTATTTGCAAGAGACAGACTTCCTCGACATGTCACATATCCCGTGTGTTTGGTGGTGAATACTGACGTTGCCTCACAACCTGGTACACATTGGATTGCTATATTTATTGATAAGGATGGTGTTGGTGAATATTTCGATTCATACGGCTTACCTCCGATGTATAACGAATTCACCGAGTTTTTGGCCAGAAACTCAAAATCACATTTCTATAACCGAAAATATTTACAATGCCTCACATGCATAACGTGTGGACACTACTGTATTGCCTATATAAAAATACGTAGTAACGGCATGACGTATAATCAATTTATAAAATTATTTACTCATAATCAATATTATAACGATAATCTTATCAAAACATATTTAACCATTTTATAATTTACACAAACATATAATTATATTTAATTTAAAATTTTTTATAAATAAACAAATAATTCGTAAATTTAAACTTGTGTAATTTATTTCATTAATTATTTATATTTCACTAATTGTAGGTTTGATGATATGGCATGGTTTAGGGGAAGCGCTTTGCTCTTCTATACTATGCTGTGCTAAAAAACGCGCGTTTTTTAAACACTACTATCTCTATAAAACTATTAATTTATTATTTTTCGGCTTATTTATATCTACTTTTTGGGTCCAGTCTTTCTCCTCAACTACTAATATAATATTTGATTATAAATTATGAGTTTAATATTACTAACCTGCTACTATTGTAAGAACAACAAAGATCAAATGAACACCTAATAAAATGGTTTTTATGTAGAATATGTATAAGAATTTTTTATCAATATACATTTATATTGATATGTACAGAACTAATGATCACCATGAGAATTGTAAACAATTGTTTCTTATGGCAAATTATTAGTTATAATGTGTTGCAAAACATCAAATTTAAATAAACTGATTGTAAAATTATATAATATTGAATAAATAATTTTATTATATTTAAAAAATAAATATTTGTGACGACAAGACATTACATAACATTTTAAACAAAAGTGGTGTTTTGAAAGGAGCATTGATTTGTGATGGGATCGATGTGTATGCACTTGAATATAGTAAGTGAAAACAAACCCCGTATGATACGAGCCGACTGCGAGACGGCCAGTAGTGGTTGTAGACACAAACGCAAACGGTTGTCGCACTCACAGTGGGATATATCTATAATTACCATATTTGAGAGAGAGAGAGAGAGAGAGAGAGAGAAGCTTAAATTAAATTGTTAAATAAACAACAAAAATATACTAATGTAAATGCTATTTCAGTAATTAAATATACGATTTAATAATAATCTGTTATAGGTAAATTATATAATAATATTATTAATTTATAGTATTAATATAACATATAAAGGAACAGTACTCATATTACTTACATACATAGTGGACCAGGATTGAACAAATCGCATGACCAGTTACCAGGAGACAGAGAATGTGGACAAAGATCATGTTCGCGGCAGCACGAGTCGAGATCTCGCAATTGCCCTAGGTCATCGTACCCCGTGGCAGTATTCCCGGGTCCGCACCATTTGGTTTTAGGGAAAGTTAATTTAAGTTCCCGTTTCATTCGACTAATGTTAATACTATGAGATTTATGTTCAAAAAATGTTAGTATCACCATCAAACTTAAAGTTATCATTTCTATAATATTAACTGGAATTTTCATAATATCACATTATTATGGTATAATTTATTAAATTAATATGTATATATTATTTATATAAACAAATAATATAAAATTTATTAATTAACAGATGGTTATATTTTAATATAATGATTAATTTTTATTTATCTATTATAAAGTGCTGAGTATTAAAATATATTTTGTTATTAAAATATTGATGTTTTTGCAACTCAATTAAATTGTGTATAGTTTCAAGTGTATTAACTTAAAAATGGCTATTTTTATATTATATCATTGTTTGCATACTTTTAATATATACAATTAAATGTGAAGTGACAATATTATATGGGAATAATTGTTAATTCGTGTTGTTTTTGAGGACTTAGATTAAGACGTTTTACGGATTTACAACGTGTACGGATTTTGATAAATTCGTGAACACGAACTTAAACAGTAAAAGTGGACGTGCAGAAAATAATTTAATCACAATATTCACAAATTAGTCACAAAATCACATCTCAAAATCACACACAATGACACAATACTATTCATTACTTGAATAGAAAAACATATTTGACTATGTGTCATGTTTGGAAATACTCATCCATGTTGAAATTAATAGGTTATCTATAAGAGTACTATTAAGTGATTCAAAATAAATCATTGTCTCGTATCGAGTCAACCATCTCGTAACCGATGATTAAGATTTCCGGTACCCAAACTTAGGGGCAGCGCAGTGAAAAAATTTTTGAAAAAAAGTGTAATTACTAGTGGATACACATAAATATAAGTTCGTTATACACGCATTTAAAATTAAGCATGAATTTGCAACTAGTAATCCTGCAGTTAGGCTTAATTATTGGTCTTATCATAACGTCTTTTTGGCTTAATTATGGGTAAGAGCTGAATATGAGTGAATTGCTTGTATTGGTTAATCATACATGTATGTTTATCATGAGGTATAATTCATAATTAAAATATAATTGTAAATTATTAAGTGTTATTAATTACTATTCCAATTAGTGTTTTAAAATAATTTTTCAATGATTTTGGGAAGTTTTGCGATACTATTATCCGATTGTATTCTTTGAGATATTTTCATCAGTTTTTCATTCAATTCCTGATTATTTAATAGACTTTCGATTGCATTCAATAACTCCTCTTCAGAGCACTTGTAGGCATCGAGTCGTATACCAAACCCTTTCTCGTGAACTCTCTGTGCGTTATCGTATTGATCGGTCCAAAGGGGCAAAACAATCATAGGTTTCCCGAAATAAAATGTTTCGGTGACAGTATTGTTCCCGCCGTGGGTTATGACCAAATCAACTAACGGTAAGACTTGGATCTGAGGGACAGACCCCTCGCCCCACATATTATCAGTCAATGAGTACTCGTATCGGTAACAGTATTGTTCCCGCCGTGGGTTATGACCAAATCAACTAACGGTAAGACTTGGATCTGAGGGACAGACCCCTCGCCCCACATATTATCAGCCAATGAGTACTCGTCATGAAGGGGTCCTTTCGATACAATAAACCTGTGCTTAGATTTGGACAAAATGAGTACTCGTCATGAAGGGGTCCTTTTGATACAATAAACCTGTGCTTAGATTTGGACAAAATATTGACTAATCTCTTCATATTGTCCACATCTGCCGCACCCATAGATCCCAATGAAAAGTATATTAGTTTTCCCGGTTTGTCTCTCAAAGGCAACGGTATCTCAAACTTTACATCATTGTGTGTTCGCATAAAGTTATCAAATCGGTAGTGATTTGGTGGCAAAGGTCTGACATCATTGTAATCGAGTTCAGCCGGAAATGGATATACGTTTAGATACGGCGATGGAGTGAAATATTGGCAGTCATTCAATGCTTTTAAACCTCTCGCTATAATGTATTCATTGAATCGTTTTGAGGACTCAATTGTCACGTCTTTTACTGTTTGCCGAAATATTTTCCATTCGTTTTCATCGCTATCTATTGGAAAACCTAATAATATAACAATATTAATAAATTTACTATTGTAAACATAATAATCTCCAACATTAAATGCAATTATAAATGAATTTTAACTAAACATTTTTACGAGTTAAACACATAAAATGAAACAATAGAAATGTGTGTATAAAAATAAGGTAAAATATATTGTTTGTTTGTTGTTTTAAATATAATCATCTGCTAAATTGGTTTTCATTTTTACATACCTGAGCCGTGAGGGGGCGTCCGATTATCATCTATTAATAGTAACGGATTACAACTACAGACCCAAACCCATGGTATTCCAGATTTGACAACACTGGTGTGATATACCACGTGATCAATTATGATTAGATCTGGACATAATTTATCAATATATCTCTCAATCATTTCATCAGTTTTTGGCCATTTTTGTGTCATATCGGGAAATAGTTGGCCCCAATAGGCGACCATCTTATCTAGCGGTGAGCGATCGGTCATTAGACCAATCCGTTTGGCACTCATCGCCGCTTTAAGTGCCATATTTTTGTCGGATTCCTTGTTTTCGGTCCAACTCTCGTACAAAACCTCTTCGATGCCATATTTTGTGAGTCGACCCCTCCATTGCTCGTTGATTAGAAACATCACCCGATGCCCGGCCCTCACCAACGACTCACCGATTCCTAGGTATACAGAAGGTTTGTAACAAATTTTATTATGAATGTTATGATCAAATATTGTAACATGGTTGTTTTCAGATACAAACATTTATTGACAATGACTTACCAATGCATGAGTTTACGTGTCCGATACCATCACCAGTTGTTATTAGTATATTTAAACCCTTTGACATCTTTGAACATTGACTATCAAAACTACTCAATTTAAACTAATTTATTAATTAATGTTAACCGTAAATTAATTGATAAACTACTAAACTAATAATAGACTACATTCTAAACATTTAAAAATTATATCTTGTATAATTTTTTTGAGATTTATTTAAAAATAAATAAATTAATGTACAATATATTATTTATAAACACACGTTGACTTAATGTAAAATATCTATTTTTATACTAGCCTAGTACACGCACTAATACGCTTATCATTGCCATATTTTATATAATATATTTTACTGTTTAAGTTCGTTTACCATACAGTAAAATCTCTTTTTAATTTATTCCATTTAGAATGTTAAATTATATTAGAAAATATGTAAATACAATGTAGAATAGTTATGCTTTACCATAATGTAATATAATTATTAGGATTCTAATACCAGATTAATGTAATATAGTTAAATAAAAATACTGTAACTGTAAATGTACAAGTTGTAACAATATACTAACGCTTGTGGAGTATAATCAGCACAACTAATATGAGCTAGTTTGTATTAATTGTTTAATCAATTAATTTTTAATATGGCATGGAAATTAAACTGTGTTTATTAATGTACAAAATTATGCAAACCATTTGTCTGTATCTATATTGGATCCGGAGATAATCCGGAGATAAATTTTGTTATATTTTCAAAAATATGCGGTATAGGCTACTGATTTGTTTTGAATATCTCATTTTAGAATGTAATTGATATAATTTTTTACTTTTCCAAATTTATTTCTCATATTTTGCGATTTCCATTGACTCACATTTCCAGACAACTTTCAGAGGATGACCTCTTCAGATGCAATTATCTCCGGATCCAATATAGATACAGACAAATGGTTTGCATAATTTTGTACATTAATAAACACAGTTTAATTTCCATACCATATTAAAAATTAATTGATTAAACAATTAATACAAACTAGCTCATATTAGTTGTGCTGATTATACTAGTGTTCGCAATACAAAACCATTTGTATTTAATAAATCGATTTCTACATGAAAATTATCTTTTATTATTTAAAACAACATTAGACAGTTTTAAGCTATTAATTTATATTTAACTGTTGTAATCATTTTTACAAATTAATAACTTTAAGAAATATTATTTTAAAATCCAAAGAAAATCGTTATTTTATATACTTCTGACGATTCATAACATATTCTTCAATAATTTCCGATAGTTTTGCAATACTATTATCCGTTTGTATTCTTTGCGATATTTTCTGTAACTTTTCATTCATTTCTTTGTCGTTCAGTAGTTTTTCGATTGCATTCAAGAACTCAGACTTAGTGGACAGGTATGGGTTAAGTCTGAGAATGGCTGTCAGAAAATTGTTTGTAGAATTATAAATCATTTGAAAATTTATGAACCAATAGAAAATATCGGAAAAGTATGACATAAATCTAAAACAAAATTAATAATTTTTATACTGATATTTGGTGTATAAGTTATTATATTGTATAAATACTAACTTTAAATGCAGTGAATGGAGTCATAAAGAATTGATTTCCACACGAGAAACCTATTAAACGCCTTGAGTTACCTGTCTTTTCAATCAAAGTCAATACCTATTTAAATGATAAATGCAAATACTATTATATTCATATATTATATTTTGCATTAATTATTATTTGTCTTGATAATAAGAATTTTTATTAAATAATTCGTTTTATATAATTAACATTAGTATATTCCCAAGTATTAATGTACAGTATAAATGTTGTTTTTAATGTTATAAAAGTGACAATTTTATTAAAATAAAACTAAATATTAGTTTATTTATATAGGATTTTGTCACATTAAATTTAATTTTATTCATATTAATAATTAAGATATTCTGTACTTAAAGCCCGAGATGATTAGTATAATTATTAAAACGTTAAATATATTGCAAAAATCTTTTAATAATTTAATAATGAAAAATAATTTACACAAACCTTAAGCTTAAGATTAGTAGATCTAATAGAATTGCATTTTGCAATATAAAAATGGAAAAACAATTTTTCAGTTTTCATAACCTGTTTTAATACAGAATTTGTGACAAAATTAATTGAAAACAAGAATATTGTGGCAGAAGTGAAGGCAAAGAATATGGGAATGAATGACATGTTTAAGTCTCCATAAAGAATCTCATGGAATATAACCAAAAGAAAAGGTATATAAGAGTAGAGCATAACGAGGAATATTCTGCACCAAAATTTATTGTATTCATCAATTGTTTTAAATACTGTATTGAATTCAATGAGCGAACGATAGACACCAGAATCACTAATAAACATACATTTATTAATAAATCTATAAAATTTTGCATTCAAACAAAGTACTCGTGTTTTGCAATAAATACAGATTATGATAAAATACTCGGTCACCCAATGGCTAATAAATGTCATATAAAATAACCAATGGTTAAAGACCAGAACTGCTGGTAAGCCATATATTAACATATTATCCAAATTATATTGCAAAAATAATAACAAAATTGAAATAATAATAAAATTATGTCTAATATTTTGAATCATAAAATTAAATATAAAATGAATGTATTTAGCGTATAGTATAAAACTTTTAACGTGATGTTTATTGGCAATCATGAGGTCAGTCAATGGACAAACACCATATAATACATTTAAAATCTTCATCCATATCATATCAGATTTGCTACTTTTAATTATGACAACACAATACGATAAGCAGCATATTGTAATAATAACACAAATAATATACAGATAAATCACTTGACCGCCAAACATTTGTACAAGGTCAAAACAATAGTACGGAACTGTGCCAGTTGATTTATCAGTTACTCGAATATTTATTACATAACGAATCGAACTTAATAGAAGAAAAATTATAACGTACAAACATTTAAATTTATTGTACCATGTGTTATCCCGAAAATTATTTAATAAAATGCCTTTTTCAAAGGGCATGTAAACATCACTAATTTGTTGATCATGTTTTAAATTATTATGTAAATTTAATTTAGCATTTTTGAATTCTTTACACAATTTATACTTTTTTCTTAAATTTAGCATTATATTAAAATAAACACAATTGGTTATTTATGTTCAAAATATCAATTAAAACGTTAATACAATATAATACTACAGTATTAGAATAATGTAAAATTCAACAGAAAACATTGTATTAAAAACTTTAGTAATTAACATAATTGTTAATGCTAAAATAATTTTAAATGTCAGAGTTATAAATATTTCTCAATACATCAATAATTTTTAATAATTATTTATCAACTGAATACATTAACAATATCTATATTCATAATTAAACTACGTAATTCTGTTTAACTTCAATAAATATTTAATTAATGAATAATTAGTACAAAAATTGTTTTAATAATAAAAATGTATATTCAATTCATTTAATATACAATACAAACTCTAATTATTTACACAGTAGTTTTACATTAAATTTATTGTAAAGTGATATTTACACATAAGTTTAATTTATATTAAATCAACAAAATTATAAATAAATAAATTATACAACAATAAAAAGTTTAGAGACTTATTGCAATTCCTTTAGATATAATATTAACAGACGTCTATGTAGATAATATAAGTTTATAGTGTACATTAAAATAAATTCATATATTTTAATAGTATAATATTGTTAATTATCTTTATTTTTGCAATTTTCTTCCACTAAATTAGAGATAATTTTGGGAAGTTTTGCGATACTGTTCTCCGATTGTATTCTTTGAGATATTTTCATCAGTTTTTCATTCAATTCTTTATTATTTAATAGACTTTCGATTGCATTCAATAACTCCTCTTCGGAGCACTTGTAGGCATCGAGTCGTATACCAAACCCTTTCTCGTGAACTCTCTGTGCGTTATCGTATTGATCGGTCCAAAGGGGCAAAACAATCATAGGTTTACCAAAATAAAATGTTTCGGTGACAGTATTGTTCCCGCCGTGGGTTATGACCAAATCAACTAATGGTAAGACTTGGATCTGAGGGACAGACCCCTCGCCCCACATATTATCAGCCAATGAGTACTTGTTATGAAGGGGTCCTTTCGATACAATAAACCTGTGCTTAGATTTGGACAAAATATTGACTAATCTCTTCATATTGTCCACATCTACAGCACCCATAGATCCTAATGAAAAGTACACCAGTTTACCCGGTCTTTCCTGTAACTTCATTGGCATATCAAATGTCAAATGACTTTTATTACGCTTGAGATTATCAAACCGAAACCAATTAGGAGGTAATGGTCTGATATCCTGATAATCCAATTCTAATGGATATCCATATATATTCAAATAGCATGACTCTCGCATTAGCATAAATCCAGTTTCTTTAAGCATTTCCACGCCTTTCCCATTGAGATATTCATTAAAAACAGTGATTCTCTGTTTTTGCAATTCTTTAACACTATCTCTAAATGATTTCCACTCCTTTCGGTCCCCCATCGATGGCAGACCTGTTGCACACAAATATGCAAATATGATAATATCATAATGATATATTTACTATTATTTGTTAATGATATACTAATTTGCTTTACTTTACATGTATTAATTAGTATACAATAAATTAAAACCATAAAAAGATGCAAATATAAATTATAATACACAGTATCTTATTTAAATCATGCGCTTACCTGACATGGCCGGTGGGAAACAATCATCATTAAAATAGCGTAAAGGATTGGCACTGCATACCAATACCCAGGGTATTCCGGATTTGATAACTGTTGTAACAGGATCCGATATATCGACAAACAACACATCGGGTTTGAATTGCTCAATAACATTGCTTAGATTATCATCAAGGTATTTTATGGAAGCGATAAACCGGTTGTTATCAGCGTTTGACACGAGACAAGCAACTTTGTCCAAAGGTGTTCTGTCGGCCATAAATAATAATTCTTTCAGACGTTTAGCCGTGAAGTCTGCGTCGGGTTTAGCATTTAGGTTAGGGTCGGGCGTCAGTACTTTGGGCTCATTTATGGCGAGTATGTCTTCGATGCCGACATAAGTGGAGAGTCTCTGACCCCAGAAGTTGCTGACAGCGAATGTCACCAAATGTCCCGATTCTGCCAATACTTCAGCCAATCCTATGCAAGCGTTTAGGTGTC